TTTGTTGAAATTCCGACGTTAACGTATAGTGCGCCGCAAAGAGTTAACATTTTGAATGACTGGAATTCAAACCATGCAGCTAATAAAGAAGCTATTGCAAACACTTTGTCGTTACAACAAGGACAATGCGTGAGTGAAAGCTTTGGTGTACTTGATTGGTTGTTTATTTAACCTTTCAAAACAACTGTTATCAACAAGAATATTATTTGCCTGCATTTTAAATGTTGGGAGGGAAAAAAGGAGTTCCTCGAACTAAATATGTGAACTTCATAAGCTAGGTTTCCATCCTATTTTATCAGCAAAGTCTGAGATTCTTCAAAAGTTTGGACAAAGTTCAAAGAAATGAGTACTTAAAAAGGGCAGAATATTCTGAAAGTGCTTGCCTGCATTACAACAATCCAGTTAAGGGGTCATATATTTATTTGGAGATTTTTTTAAGTGCGTTGCACCATTAGGAATGATGCATGTCTATTAGTTTTTTATTAATTTGTGTATTTTTCGTATAAGCTATTGTAGTTTTATAAGCTTATACATGAAAGGCAGTTTAATTGGATATTCAGCTTTTTTAATGGTGGCAAAAATTGTGTGAATTTAGAAATTAATTGCCAAATATGTACTTAACTCACATATTCTTGGCAGACATTTTGAGTTACCATTTAAATTTATTCCTTTTTCTTACACCAAAAACAACTTTTACTCTTTTTTTTTTTTTTTTTTTTTGGAGAGGGGGATATTTCTTTAATTATTATTCGTTGTTTACTTTGGCAACTTATTAACATTTTTCAGATCAATTTATATGCAAAATTTTTGATTTGGAAGTTTTTTTAATTAATTTTTTTTTCCATTTAAAAAAAATATTGCAAAGAAACCTAAAATGATGATAACCTGCTAAAATAATAATTTTAGAAAAATAACTTCATAAAATATTTTTATTCCCATTATCATATTTTAAAATGTCTACCTTTAATTTTAGCAGCTTATAAATGTCTTGATTCTGAAAAATAAATAAGGTAATCAATTTTATAAAGCACAACCTCTAACTTTTTATCGAAACTAAAGAAGTTATTGCAATTATTTTATAGTTTTTGTGTTGAGAGGAATATGTGTCAGTTTTCTCTGTAAAATTCAATTTAGTCCCACTCCCCCTTAAAAAGTCTGAAAATTGGTTGTAATTCATGATATATAATATATCTTTGCATCATATATAATTTGATAAGCAGTGTATGGATATATTTCTGGAATTATTTTTAATCTTGATATTAAAGAAATAAGTAACTTCTTCTGTACATTTAAAATAAATAGTTTTTTAAAACAAAAATCTTTTAACTAAATCTAATTATTCAGATGAAGCAGAAAGTAATAGGCTAGGCATACTGATTTATGTACTAAAGCAGATGAACTTAGAACAGTTGTTAAAGAGAAGGAAATTAATGTAAATTGATTAAAATATTTAAAAAAAATTTCAAACTAAAAAGACATAAATATTTTGATATGCTATGGATGCATTATAAGCTTCAATTGTATAACCTATTCATGACAAACATCTCGTAGGTTCAATGCAGCGATTCCACTCTTCCCATAAAAGCATCGGTTCTGTGCGAAGAGCTCGTATTGGTCTCTTCAGCCCAGTGTCGCATATGTGTAATTTGAAAATGAAACGATTTATTTGAGCTTTTAGCTATAGGTAAATGGTAACAGTTTTCACATCAGTTGAGTCGTATATTTAAATAAATGACTATATTATATTTTATTTACAGAACATGATTTATGGCATTTAATTTTTTAAATATAGTGAAATGCAATAAACATAATCTTTTGCGATTTTTTTATAGAAATTTTGCACAAAGTTGTATGAAATCATAATGAAACTTACCACTATTTCTCAAATTTTTAGTATAATTAATTTTTGTATATAATCTTTGGGAGGTAATTCTAGAAGAAATAATAGGGTATCTCATCGGTCTTTACTGTTGGTCTGTGCTTTTGTGGTATTTTTTAGATTTTAAGTTATTGTTTATTATATTTTCTTACTGGTCTGTGCTTTTATGGTATTTTTTAGATTTTTAAGTTATTATTTTATTACATTTTGTTATGTAAAGTTAAAGTGTATGTATTTCTGATTTTATGAATTCTATTTATTCCAGATACTGGAAAACTGTTTTCACCTTTAACTTCTCAGAAAAAGATAAACGCAATTTTACACTTCTGCATCAAAAAGTGAGCCGACCAGAAGGTAATTATTATAAATTTATATTAAGACATCATTTAAGTATGATTCACATCACTAAGTATGGCTACATATGGTTCTCTGACAAAAGCCCACTGGACAAAAATGCACATGACAAAAGCCTACACATGCACATCCAAAGGTGGAGAATTGCCCACATGACAAAAATCCACACCGATAAAAGCCCACATAAAAGAACACATGGTTTTTATCACTATAAAATATATTTATAATTGTAATTATAGTAAATGCAGTATTCAGATCTTAATTTTAATGGCTCAAAAATATGTCTGTATATTTTATTAACTCTTTATTTGTTTATTTTATTAGGCAGCAAACAAATTTTCTGCTTTCCGATTAAGTGATTAGCTGTAATGTTTCAATGATAAATCTGAAAATTTATTTTATTATTTATTTACTTATTTAATTTTGGCATGTTTATGTGAAAATGAAAATTATCATTGTGAAGTTTGTTATTTTCATTGTGAAGTTTGAAAATTATCATTGTGAAATGCTGTTTTAAATGTTATATGGCTGAAATTAAATATAATTAGGTTTCATTATCAAAAAAATCCAGGAAATGGTATTTAACCCTCTGAGCGTTACAGGTTTTTGGATTTGTCTTGAAGACCTGTATTTATGCGTCATTCATTAGCTAAATTTATATAATTACTTATTTTAGCCTCTATTCTCATAAACTTACATTCATTAAGATTACATTTATATTATTAAAGAAAGTAAGAAAGCAAAATATCTTAATAACCTAATATGTATCAAGTGACAAAAAATTTCATGACCGGATAAAGTCGATCATGCTGCTCAGAAAAAAAATATTTTACAGCTATGACAGGGTATTTTAAGCCTCTCTTAGTTCTAGAACTAAAGTGTTAAGTACAGTCAAAAGTAGTTAATCCGGACTTGTCAGGACTTCTGCGATTCCGGATTATAGATCATCAGTTTAAATCTAGTAAGATGGCATATAAAATTAAAAATTAGAAACCGTAATTTATGAAATAAAGAACAATTATGATCTAAAGGGTATCAACATTTACAAAAAAAAAAGCTTAATATTAAGTTGTTTAAGTTGCTTCGTTTTATGTGATAATACGTTCTCTTTAATTTTATAAACAGACATAATTTTTTGTTCAGTTACAAAGTTCCGCTGTTCAAGTCCTATAATTGCTTTGTCGAGAATACCGACTAATTTGTCAATCGAAATTTTTTCGTTTTCAATAACCTCTGTGTCACTTTCATCACTATCGGAAGCGAATTATAATGACGAGGAGTTTGATTTAAATCATATCAAAGACGGAGTACATCGAGATAAATACTACATTTAGTAAGGAATTATAAGCCAAATAAAATAAAAACATCTACCCTGAAGATAAGGATAGTGCTGACAGTTCAACTTCCAATTCGTTGCGCGCCGCGTCGTCTCCCCCCCCCTCCACCTCCACAGAGCAGTGTGAAATTGATAAACAGATTTCAGAATAGTTAGAGAAACAAAGGATATGCCTTTATCCATTTTTTGTAACAATTCCACTTTTTGTTTGATGGACATCGAAATATACTTTCGCTTTGTAGGTGCTTTGGGAGCTCCAGCATCAGAAATTCTATTTGACATAATCGAAAGTTCAAGCTTACTTTTATAAAATTGCTCTAACTGTCTGCAAAAAATAATAAGCTGGATCCAATTCGAAGATTAAGGAACAACGCAATCTGCAACATTAACTGAAATAGATAATTAGATAATTTTAGCTTATACCATCCGTTATACATTAAACGCGCATGCGTAATCGTATTATGCACATCCGCACATGTATATGCACAGCCATAAAGGTCTTACGCACAAGTAAAGGACTTACGTGGTCTTGCGTCAACGAGACGCATGCGCAGAAAGTTTGTAGCTTTGAGGTTCCGATTATAGATCATTCCGGACGATGGGTGTCCGAATTAACGACTTTTGACTGTAGTTACTCCTTGGACTTATGTATGCTGACTAAAAGTAGCATTCCCTTTATTTAATTGTTACTAAGTTATTTTCTCCCTCCTTTGCAAATGCCTTCATAGTGTAACTGTGGCGCGCTTGGCGCATATTCAAGAGTCCAGGTTTGAGGGCATTGCACATTTTTCATGTCTCCTGCTTCCAAAAAAATCTTTGAAATCAAGTTAGATGACTATCACAGAGTTGCCAACTCTTCCGATTTAGGCTAGAGACTCCTGATTTTCGACCGCTCTCCTGCCAACCCGATTTACAATATATTTCTCCCGACATTTTCTTATTCTTGTTATTTCTCACGATTTTTATGGAACTTGGCTTAATACTTCGTTATATGAACAAAAAAAAAAGTGATTTTGGACGTCTGAAAGCAACTGAATTTTCTCTAGATTATATCTAAAATAAAACCTTGCGAATCAAATGGGAATTTCTGCTTTGTGAGTGACAGCATACGTATCCAGAAACGTCGTTCTCCAGTTCTCCAATGGGCATCGAGCTCCACTGCGTGTCATCTGGCATATATTAGCCAATGAGCACAAAGCAAGCTCAAGGCCATTGCAAAGAAAATTCTTTGGCCGTTGGGCCGTTATTTGGATGTTCTTTCATGATTTCATTCATCTTGTCCTGAGTTGTGTGAGTACATGTGCCTTTGGGAAATAGTTTTAGAAATTATCGTCTTTTGTTATGTCTGCGAGAAAGGTGAAATACTCGTGCATGTTTCAAAAATCGTACACAGTTATCGTCCTTCTATTATTGCCTCAAGGAAATGTAATAAATTTGTGATGTGTACCATCTGTCGTTGCGTTTTTTCGATGTCACATGGTGGAAGGGCAGATGTTCTCAAACATGTGCGTACAAAAAAACACAAGGACAACAGGAGTTGTCTGGAAAAAAACGAAAAATTAAATTTTTCTTCGGAAACGAAAGACCAAAAAGTGATTAATGCAGAATGTCTGTTCTCTGCCTTTTTACTGGAGCACAACCTGCCACTGAATGCATCGGATCACGCTGCAGCTTTATTTAGAAAAATGTTTCTTCATAGTGAAATCGCTAAGAAATACTCAAGTGCAAGGACCGAAACAGGTGCAATTGTTAAAGAAATGGGTTTGAAAAATAAATCTTCAGTTATTGATTGCATTAAAACAGTTCCGTTCTACCTCTCTACGGATGGAAGCAATAATACCAGTTCAAAACTGTATCCAATTGTTGTTTCTTTTTTTAATTCAGAGTCTTCAGAAATTGAGTGCAGTTTACTTTCTGTCCCCACTTTAGAAGGACATTCGACAGGCTTTAATATAGCACAGCTAATTATTAAAACTTTAAAAGAAAATGCAGTCCCTCTGGATAATTGCTTAGCACTTGGTGCCGATAATGCACCAGTAATGGTAGGCTTGAAGACTGGTGTTGCAGGCATCTTAAGAAAGGCAAATTCAGATTTGCAGATTATGAGGTGCACCTGTCACCTCTTAAATTTAGCAGCTGAAAAAGGGGCAACTTCTTTACCAATAAATGTGGATGAACACATTGTTGATATTTATTATTATCTTGAAAGGAGTTCTAAAAGAAAGTAAAAATTGAAACAGTTCCAACAGCTGCATAATACTGAAATGAGAAAAATTTGGAAATGTGTGTACACGCTGGCTGTCTTTAAAGAAATGCTTATCTAGAATCCTCGATCAAGGGAACCCACTTTGCATTTTTTAAAGAAGAAGTAAATGCTTCGAGAGTTAAGATAAAAGGCTCTATTGAAAGTTATAAAGTACCTAAAGTAAATGGAGATGTAGTTACTACTTCCATTGTTAAAAATAGGTTTGAGAAAAATAAAGTAATTTCTGCATCATTCAGCAATTCAACTGGCAGTTCTCAAAAATAACAATGCTAAATATAAGCCTAAAGCTGATACAAATTTCTCTCAAAATAAAAAAATTGCTCATCACATGAAACATTTTCCGATTACTGTAAGTTTATCTTGTGAAGAACGAATATTTATGTTTTTTTATTCGAACCTTAACAAAGCTTTTTGCTTTTTTTTACAGTTCATTTTGCCATCATTCGATGTTCTTAACACAATTCTACAAAGCAGAATTCCATTAATTCATGTTTTGCAATCAATGATTTATGATCTGTTTAAAGACATTTTATCAAAGTTTGTAAAACCAGTCTGTGTTTTGTCTTGTAATTCTACATATGATGTGATTTATGGTGAAATAGAAAATCAGAAGAAAGATGAAGATTTGGTAATAGGAGCTACAACTACAAAAGTAGTGGAAGAACTTTCAGAAGAAGACAAAAATAAGTTTTATCTTCATGTTAGAAGTTACTTCTGTCGAGTATGTGATTACATACTACATAAATTTCTAGTCAACGATGAAGTGATTTTGCATGCTAAAGTTGGGGATGTTTCTGCTCTAGCAAATGCATCTTTTTCTGATATAAGGTACTTTTTGAACAGATTTCCTGTGTTACTTCGTTTAGTCATGAAAGATGATGATATTGATGTTGCTACTGATATACTGCAGTTGCAATTTTGCAGTTTACAATTAGAAAACTTGGATGAAGTTATAAAAATCAGCTAGGATTGACACCCAGTGAGTTTAATTGGAAAACTGAAAGGTGCTGATGGAATTTTAAAATATAGTGAACTGTCTAGAATTATGTTGGCCATCTTGACAGTTCCCCATAGTAATGCAGAGTGTGAGAGGATTTTCAGTGTTGTTGCAAAAACGAGGACTAAATTTAGATCTAATATTAGTGATGACACATTAGAAAAACTTTTATTAGCGAAAGCAGGCCTACGTGGCAATTGCTTATGAACAAAATTATGAAGTTTCTTTCTTAATGAAAGCAAAATCTGCCACTGTTCATAACATTTGTATGAAAACTGATTAAAGTGTTTTTTTTTTTTTTTTTTTTTTTTTTTTTTTTTTTTTTTTAACGATGCAAGTAATAAAAATGTTTTAAACATTAAAAACTATATTTTTATCATTTAGAAAGTCTTTTTAACATT